CATGCTGGTGAGGATGTGCAGAGCTCTCCCTGACTGCTGGTGGGGACATAGGTGGGACAGCCACTGTGGGCACAGTTTTCTAGTTTCTTAGGAGACTAGATATTCTCTTACCATACAGTGGTGCTCCTTGATATCTGAACTGCTCTGATGGCCTCTTGTTAGTCACAGTGGGCGTCACTGCCTGCGGTGAACAATCGACACTGTTTCTAACAGGTACCCTGGAGATGGGATTTCTAGGAGCCAGACAGTTTAAATAGTGACACTTCTCTGGGGATGGTATTTTGGGGGGAGCAACAAGTCCGTCCTCTTGCACCGGTGGCTGTGTGGGTGCTGGTTTTCAGGCTGCTGTACGATTCTTTTCCATATTTTCTAACGGTTGTTAACATTAACATGTAAGATAGATTTGTATACTTGTTTATGACCCGCTCCTTATTAGATTCTAGTTAAAGCTCAAGGGTTTTTGGATTATTTTCTTGGTTTTTCAGGTAAACAGTGACTTTCTTGGTAAAAGTTTATAATTTTGTTCTTTTCATAGTGTTTTACCCAGGGGTCCAGAGTAACACTAAGCACAGGCTCACTGCCCGACTGTTGCCCACTTTTCATAGAGTTTCACCCAGAGTAACACTAAGCACAGGCACATTTCCTGACTGTTTCCCACTTTTCATAGTGTTTTACCCAGGGTTCCAGACTAACACTAAGCACAGGCACACTGCCCGACTGTTTCCCACTTTTCATAGCATTTTACCCAGGGGTCCAGAGTAACACTAGGCACAGGCACACTGCCTGCCCGACTGTTTCCCACTTTTGTGGCTTGCTGGTTTTTCAGACGTTACTCCACTGATTTTTGTCTCAGTGCCCATTTAGTATCCATTCTTATGCTCAATACTGTCTCTTTAGTCTTCACTAAAACCTGTCAGTAGGGATCTACGTTTCTTTGAATGGAAAGTTAAAACAAATACATATGATTATGGTCTGTTAAGCTTCATAAAACATCATTTATTCAACAGATATTTGGTTCATCAATTGCATGCCAACAACAGTGGTAAGCCATCAGGAAAAGATTTACCAACACATAAACCCCACAAGATCTTTGTTCTTGGGAGTTTGCAGTCCAGGTAGCAAAATTTCAATGAAACTAATTAGTTATCATTATTATTTTTTCTTAAAATAGAGTTTCACTGTGTCACCCTCGGTAGAGTGCCATGGAGTCACAGCTCACAGCAACCTGAAACTCTTGGGCTTAAGTGATTGATTCTCTTGCCTCTGCCTCCCAAGTAGCTGGGACTACAGGAGCCTGCCAAAATGTCCAACTATTTTTGGGTTGTATTGTCATTGTTGTTTGGCAGGGCTGGGTGGGATTCAAATCCGCCAGCTCTGATGTATGTGGCTGGCACCCTAGCCACTGAGCTACAGGCACCGAGCCAAAACTAATTATTTTTCAGAGAAAAGTGGTATCACTGCTTCCTAGGCTGGAGTGCAGTTATATCATTACAGCTCACTGCAGCCTTGAGCTCCTGGGCTCAAGTGATCTTGTCTCAGCTATTTTTTTTTCCACCCCTATCTCAGCTTTCTGAGCAGCTGGGGTTACTGGCACCACAACACCCAATGTTTTTTTATTTTTTTGCAGAAATGGGGTCTATGTTGCCCAGGCTGGTCTTGAACTCCTGGCCTTAAGTGATCCTCCCACCTCAGCCTCCCCAAATGCTGGGAGTACAGGCCTCTAAATTGCAATTATGCTAAGTATGATGAATGCAAGTAACATGGTGCCAACAAAACTTGCAGGTGCCTGAGGAAATCAACTTTAAGCTGAGGCAAAGAAAGTGGACACTAGTTGGGTATGTCCTGGGAAGATTGTGGTGTGGAGAGCCTTTGGGGTCTGGGGCTGAAACTCTTTGACACACTGTGGGTGGGAGCACAGGAGGAATAGGGAAGGCCTCAGGGCAGTGCAGGCAGGATAAGTAAGGTTTGTGTTTCTGGAAGATCCCCCTGGCTGTTGTGTGGAAATGAACTGGTGCTGAGGACAAGGTCCAGAAACAACCAGGTATGTTGTGAGAGGCCGTGCTTAGAGGACACGAGCTCCAGTTAGAACTTGCACCTGCTGTGGGGAGTGGGCAGTCGCAGGTGTCAGGTGCTGCCTGGGTCTCCAGCCTGAGCCCAAGAGGATGCAGAGGCACAGGTGAGCCAGGCCGAGTTCATTCTGTGGCGGTGACAGACATCTGGGAGCCACACAGCACTAAAGCTGAGTAAAATAAAAAGACAGGACCCAACCTGTGTTGTTTCACTGCTGAGTGTTAGAGATGGCAACAAGCCTTGAGAAAGGGCCTGTGCTATGTAAGGAAGGTGCAGAGGAACACACCACAGGCCTAGGAGAGGCCCAGGCAGGACAGGCAGGGCCGCGGTTGAATGGGGTGTGCTGTGGGCAGCTTGCCGTAGCGTTTTGTTCAATTCTCAGCAGCTTCCAGTCCACAACTCTGACTCCATGCTCTGGTGACCAAGCATCAAAGCTTCTGCTTGTTTTCATTGAGGATACCCTGCAGAAGAGCTGTTTGCAAAACTCAAGAATCTAATCAGCTGAGCAAAGAAGAGTCAAACTAAGGTGGGACGAGCAACGCGGCTGCGTGGTGCGCTGCTCTGGGGGTGACAGATGCACAACACACACAGGGCACTGTCTACTCTTCAGCTGATTTGGTCCCACACTAAAAGTTTCATTTCAAAAAGATGAAGGAAAAACAAACCACACATGAACTTACATAAAAGTTTTATTAAATAAATACATGCACTGTCATGTATAATTAGTTGAGCAAAAAGGACATTCTGTAATTCTCTGCTGCTGTCCACTTGCAGTGGGTGATCCAACTAGAACTAGAATTAATGCAGCAGCCACAGAATCAATGCAAAGCTATACACACTGATTTGCATTTGGCTTAAGGTCTTGAAAAAGGGGTGACCTCTTGACAAAGAATACCAATAAAAAGAATTCTGATAGTACAGAATATAAACTGTGATAAATATAGCTACAAAGCTTCCTCTGTTTTAATCTGAAACTGGGAAATACCTTCACACTTTAAGGCACAGAATAAGAACCCAAACGTACAAGTTGACAGAGCTGCACTTCAAATGCATCTAAGTGAATTTTCTTTCCCAGGCTGGGCATGGCCACTCACACCTGTAATCCCAGGACTATGGGAAGTTGCGATGGGAGGATCAATTGAGCTTAGGAGTTAGAGACCAGCTTGAGCAAGAGTGAGCCCCCTTCTCTAAAAACAGAAAACGTAGCTGGGCATTATGGCTGGCTGGTGCCTATAGTCGCAGCTACTCAGGAGGCTGAGATAGGAGGATGGCTTGAGCCCAGGAGTTTGAAGTGTTGTGAGCTGGGATGACACCACAGCTCTCTACTCAGGGCAACAGAGTTAGACTCTTTCTAAAAAACAAACAAACAAACAAACAAACAAACAAATTCTCTCTATTGGCTTAGCTCAAAGTAGAAAAGTTAAAGTTCTCTTTTCCTAGATAAGTTATTAAAAACTAAAAATGAACATTTTGATAACATCTTTAGTGCTTTCCATCACTGGGGTCCTGCAGGTTAAGTACATGGCTACAGTGGTGCTTCTTAGCTCTTCGCACACGTCTGGAAGATGCCTATAAGCCTGAGAACATCCTTCCTTTCTCTCCTTGTAGAGTCTGGAGATGGGGGAGACCTGGTGGCAACCTTGGTGACAGCTCTCCTGACAGTGGGGGCAGCACATGATACTGCTTAACTGGCTTCCCCTGGGCTTAGCACCCTTAACACATCTACTTTTCTAATTCTTTCTCTTTTGTTGTTGTTGTTGCAGCAGTTGTCATTGTTGTTTAGCTGGCCTGGGGCCAGGTTCGAAACCGCCAGCCTTGGTGCATGTTGCCTGCACCATAACCATTGTGCTACTGGTGCTGAGCATACTTTCCTAATTCTTAAACACAGCATTCCATTAAGTGAAATGCACATCCCCTAAATTAAGCATATGATGCAAAACCCAAACACATTGGAGTGGGTAGAAATTATTGGTATGCTAAATTTCAATGAGAGTTTCTTCTCATTTATAGATTATGATAAGAACCTAATTATGATAAGACCTAATTAAAAAAAAAAAAACTTCAAAAAACTTAATGCAGTGGGAAAGCAACTAGATCCAACCAGTGATTCCCTGTCTTTCTCACACTCAGGCAGCATTACTGAATGTCTGTGTGCACATGTTTCATGTGAGTGTGTGAGTGTTCCAACCCTTTGCAAGCCTCCCTAGAATAACCAATCCTCGGTAAGAGCATTGGGATCAGCTTATAAAGAGGATTCAAAGTTTCAGTAAATAGGAGACAGTGAAATTATACTGGTGTTGATGGTTATTGAAATGTGCTATGAAATTATAGACTCCATTATAAATTACCCACCATTCAAAGTGTAAGTTATAAATGAAACAAAATTAAACTCTGCCAGAGGAAGGGAGTGTGAAAATCACCACCAGTGTCTACACAGGCATTTGGGTGTGTTTGGCCACATGAGTTGCTCCTAATTTGTTGAGTTATGTGACCAGAGTTAAGAGCTGCAATTTCAATCACAAAGTTGCATTTTCCTCAATACATTTGCACACAGCTTCATAATGTTCTCATGGCTCTGGAAGCCATTTTCATTACACAGCTTCCAGTATGCCCCCAAAATGCTTCTGCAAGTGTGTCACGAGCACATGTGTTTAAAGACTGGGACACTGCAAAGCAGGCAACAGACCAGAGCTCTGGGACTCGAGCCATCCTGCTCCAGCCTCCCCAGCAGCTGGGATACGGGAGCAGTGTCCTGCTACTCACCCACCCACCTCACAACCTTCACAGTGACGAGCGCCCCCTTCTTTGTCCACCAGGCTCACGACCACCTTACACAGTTTCATTGCTAACACTGAAGGTCTGTTCTTATTTTTTAGGAAAAGTAAAATGCACATATCTGTGTACTATTTCATGAACAGTACAACAAGCAATTAAAATAAACTCAAGACACATCATTTATACATGTTTTTCAGATTAGTACATTATGATTTAAGAACTCATGTCAAAGCTCTAAATATTTTATATTACTCAGTGATAAAACATTTCTCCTTGTAAGCCCTTTGACTTACATCTCAATAATACATCTTTATATTTATGAAAATGTTAACATTTGAATACTTTATTATTCATAATGAACAGAAATATACTAATATTTAATAATCTTTCAGTTTTTCTTTTTAAAAAGAAACACCACAAAATAGGTCACTGAGAAATTTTTGCTGCAAAGATGAAAATGATTATTTGTCACAAGAATTTAATAAGTCTTTGAAGAAAATATATATATTTCCTTGATCTATTTTCTTCTGAATTCAAACCAGCATGTAGAGATTATAAAAAATAGAGTCTATATACATGGCATAGTATATCTCAGTGATATGTAAAACAAGGCAATAGTATAGCACAGGTAGGTCTGTGATCCAGAAGGGCAATGGAAGCTGAGTTCTACAGAAGGTGACGCTACCCACTGGCCAGCTGCACATCCCAGCAACAGCTGAAAGACCAGGGGAAACTTAACATATAAAATTTAATGATAATATTGGCCAAATCTGCCTAAGATATCAACAATTTTATAAAACTGTTAAGGTATATATAACTAAATACACAAAATTATAAAAATAAGGTTGGTGCGTCTGTGATAGGGATGTGCTCTGTGCAGAGATGGGGAGGGTGCCTTGTGCCTGCATGGCTAGGTCACCACGTGTGGTCGCGTCCCGTCTTCTGTGAGGTCGTACCTGAGGGAGCACAGGAGACAATGACACATATGGGATCTAGTGTGGGGCATGGTGCTAACACAGGCCAGGGCCATCACTGTCTGGGGAAGGGACAGACCCCACTGGGCCCAGGAGAGAGTCAGATACATGTGGGGTCTCTGTTTCCTGGTGCATAGGTCTGGGGAGGGGACAGTCCCCACTGGGCCCAGGGTCTATCACTGTCTTGGGGGGGACAGACCCACTGGGCCCAGGGGAGTGTCAGATACATGTGGGGTCTCTATTTCCTGCTCTGTCTGGGTGGGGGGGGGAACACTCACCACTGGGTCCAGCCCTTGGCGAGTTCTTCAGATGCCAGCGTCACCAATACCTGTGGGTTCAAAATAAATTTAAACGTATTGCAATAGTTCTTTTTAGATTTTTCACAACTCCTAACCTCTCTAACCTTCTGTCTCTATATATGAAGTGCTCTTTTTTTACAGACTCTTATTTTTCACAACTTTCCTACCCTTATGATTCACCTGTAAACCATAAGGCTGATTATACTCAAAAGATCCTACATCCCATAGTCATACCATTACTATTGACACATCAGTTGAGACAGCTCACAGGGATAATGGCCAGTGTGCCACCAGCAGGAGCTCAGCTGATGGCAGACAAAGTGAAACCTACTGCTCAGAACCCTCTTCCAGATGACATTAACGTATCCACTGCTCAGAACTCCTCCTCCAGACAACCTTCATGTATCCACTGCTCAGAGATCCCTCCCCAACTTAACCTTTCTGCTCAGGAAGGACTGAGGAACCACTGCTCAGAATTCCTCCTCCATCTGGATACATACCTTCATGTATCCACTGCTCAGAGCTTCTCCTCCCCGATTTAACCTTCCTGTATCACCTGCTTAGAAGTCCTCTTCCAGACTTAACCTTCATGTGTCCACTGCTCAGAGCTCCTCCTTACCGACTTAACCTTCATGTGTCCACTGCTCAGAACTCCTCCTCCCAGACTTAACCTTCCTATATCCACTGCTCAGAACTCCTCCTCCCAGACTTAACCTTCACGTATCCACTGCTCAGAACTCCTCCTCTCATACTTAACCTTCGTGTATCCACTGCTCAGAACTCCTCCTCCCAGACTTAACCTTCATGTGTCCACTGCTCAGAACTCCTCCTCCCAGACTTAACCTTCGTGTATCTACTGCTCAGAACTCCTCCTCCCAGACTTAACCTTCGTGTATCTACTGCTCAGAACGCCTCCTCCCAGACTTAACCTTCAGGTATCCACTCA